GAAAACCGCCGAAGATTGGCGGTTATTACTAAGTAGATGAGTTTTTTTTTTTTTTGAACAGAACCTAATTTCTAGTACGTTTGTTACACGATTCTCTATTTGATTATCTTGATCGAGTTTCGACCATTACTGGTGGAGTTGATTTGAAATTTGTGTTGTATTGTAGTGTAGTGTTCATTTGAGTGCCTTGATTTATTTTTCAGATTTGGATTTTTTAACTTGGCTGATTATTGTTTAGCGTATTTGTAGAGGAGTTTGAGAATTTTACTGAATGCGTTTGGAGGCTACGATTTAGAATTTGTTATTTCGTTTTAATTTGTTTGCGAAGTAGAAGACAATGGAAGCAATGAAGTTGGATGTGTATTATTGCAGTGTTCAATAAGTACAAAGGAATATCGGACAGAGGCTATGAGGCACTTCGTTATGTCAGAATTTTCTATTAATCTAGATTCATTTATATAATTGTTGTTTTTTTTTTAATTTTCTCAATCATTAACTTGAATAATATTGATTCAGAAAGAGCTAACGGGAGCCAGTGTACCAACAGACATGGCCTACAAATTCTAATTTGTGAGCGGATAACATTTCTTTTGGCTGAGTGCATTAACCTCTTACCAAATTTCTTTTATTGTATAAATTAGTGAATTTGATTATATTTTTTTTGTTTTTTTGGTTCAACATCGAAAATACATAGTTTGGTCATTTAATAATGCTTAAATTAATATTGTAGAGGTTATTAAATGTTTTAGTTAATTGCTAGCAAAAGACCATTGCATCAAGTTTCTATATATTTGAATTATTATAACATTTGCTTTAAAATCGCTAGAATACATTTGCCAATTGGTTTTTTTTTTTTTGCAGCTTGTGATTTTCTTAATTTGTTTGTTGATAATTCTTTGTCATTCATTTATAGGTTAATTGCACGTGATATTGTTTTTTCAATTTATTTAGCTCCGCAATAATAATAAAATAAAATAAAAACTATTTATTCATATTAGGAATTGAAATTGCATATACGTGTATTTTTTTTTTTTTTTTTGTTTCTTTGGTTCTCATACGCATATATACCAAATGCTTGATTTTTATTCTCTCATTTGCATATCTATGTAACTATAGTTTATAGTTTTTGTAATGTATTGATTATAGGTAAAGTAAGAGTAATCCATTAAGAATATGATTTTTAAGTTATAAATATTATAGAATTTAACGTCTATATGATTATTGTATCAAATATTTTGTTGGGTTGATCACATTTGTGTTTTATAAATTTCATTCGTACACGTCCTTAAATATATGGTCATATAAATGCTTTCCAACATAAGAAGCATATATGTTGTATCTTTTATTTATTTCTTTATTTTAGAAAGAATAGATTGAAATGTAATAGTTTCTTTATGGTTATAATATTCTCTTCTATTAAAGTAGTCATACTCTTAAATAACTTTGACATTTGAGAAAAACTTTTGAGTTAATAATTTCATATTTTGTTTAGTTGTGAATTCTAGAGGATAAGTGGATATGTATGTCTTTTTTTCTGTTCCAACGTTTATGAAGTTTGAAAACACAATTTTGGTCATGGGAAGCACAAGAAAATTGGAGTTTTGAGTCCAGTCTCCATTGCTGTTGGCCTTCAAGTGCCGACTCTTCCAACCCTCATATTTGACCCGTCCCCACCCACTCTGTATTCGTGTGGTCACACATGGTGGGTCGTGCCGAAAAGAAAAAAAGATTTAACTTTTCGGTTTCCCATGGTTTAAAGAGAGTATAAAAAGTAGAAAATCTTGGATATTAAAAGTTATCAATCATCGAAACGCCAACAAATGGATCCGTTTCTTTTTGCCGCCCCTTTCCGTCTGCCCCTTCCTCCTTCCCCCTCCCATTGTCTTTCCTGCTTACTTATCTCTATTCCCTTGTGCTGCTACCATCATTTTCATTCACTCTAAGCTCTAATCATTCAACTATTTGTCAATATGTGCGTGTGGTAGGTAGTAGGCCATAGCAGCCACTTTATAAGTCATTTCTGCTTTTCTAAGCACAAATATATGTCGCTCTGTGTATATAATACAACATGGTATGGGCGTGCATGTATACCTTAATAAAATAAAATAGCTGATTAAAAGCACTTGAGCATTACATCGTATTTTATTTCCTTTTTGAGGTAAACAATTAAAATTCGAGATTCCTGCTTGGTTGTTTCTGTCTTCCTTCGTCTTCTTATTCATTCCTAGCTTTTGCTTGCTTCTTCTAACTCCTGCACTTCAGAGTCAGATTTCTATACCAGCGTAGGAAGGTATGTTTCGGGGCGATCAAAAAGTTTCAAACATATTTTAATAAACTCGAATCTCATTAATAGTTGAATTGTTTAGGCTGTTTTCATACTCTACTTTGTTTTCATACTCTACTTTGTTTTCCTACTCATTGTTCTAAATGCCACACTTTCCATTGGAGGTCTGGATTCATCGATAAATTTTATGACGCCGATTTCTCTTTTGTTCATTGTTTGATCGAGCGTGTCCATGCAGCTTATACTCCTCGTCGAGAAATTAAAAAAAATATAATTTCTTGGTTGGAAAAAATGGAAGTCGGAAACCCAGATGCCTCTTCAATCAAAGCCCTCTCTGTTTCTCAGGTACAGAAACGAACCAAAAATTTAACGTTCCCCGGTTTTTGTTCAAGATTTGAAGATTGTATAACGGCTAATTACAGGTGGTAGAAGAGTTGAAAGAGCTGTGGGGTTTGACCTTTCCGGTAACTACCATGAACTTCTTGGTGTTTTTAAGGCAGGTGGTCTCTGTCTTGTTCTTGGGCAGAATTGGAAGCCTTGAGCTTGCAGGTGGTGCACTTGCTATAGGATTTACAAATATCACAGGCTATTCTGTTATGGTGGGTTTAGCCGCTGGGTTGGAACCCTTATGCAGCCAAGCCTACGGAAGTAAAAATTGGGACCTCCTCTGTCTTTCTCTGCAACGCATGATCTTAATCCTTCTCTTTGCAACTATACCCATCGGTTTTCTCTGGATCAACCTTGATAACATCATGGTGTTTTTGGGTCAAGATCACCAAATCACAAGGATGGCGGCTATTTATTGTATTTATTCTCTTCCAGACCTTTTAACAAACACCTTGTTGCAACCCTTAAAAATATTTTTGAGGTCACAAGAGGACACGAAACCCTTGATGTATAGCACTCTGGTAGCAGTTGGCCTTCATGTGCCTCTGAATTACATGATGGTGGTGGCGCTGGGGATGGGAATGCAAGGAGTGGCAATGGCTTCGGTGATAACGAATTTGAACATTGTGGGATTGTTATGCGGATACGTGTGGGTGTGGGGAAGGAAAGGGGAGATGAGATGGACGTTGAAGGTGGGCGAGGTTTGTGGAGGCGTGGGGCCAGTGATGAAGCTGGCTATACCGAGTTGCTTGGGAATATGTTTGGAGTGGTGGTGGTATGAAATAGTGACAGTATTGTCTGGTTATTTATCCAATCCAACGTCGGCTGTGGCCGCCACTGGGATTCTCATCCAAACTACAAGCATGATGTACACCGTACCCCTGGCTCTCTCTGGTTGCGTCTCCTCCAGGGTAAGTTTCCTCCCCAATCTCTTATAATTATTATGTTTTTTTCTTACATTTTTCTCGGTCGTATCTATAAATCTAGAAAAATTGTGAAAGCATTACGCTAGATTTATCTCTACACGTCTGCCAATTATTATTATGATTATCTTTGTATATTATGTAATCATTAATTTTTGACAAGTAATATGCTTGTTTCTCATGATCCTTGTTTAACATTTGTCAATTGTACAGTTTGTCAGTCAAAATCCGGTATGGTCAACTGGTAAAAACCTTCAATTGAGTAAAGCTATAAATTTACAGACTTGTACCAATAACCCACGTCATTTTCTAATCCTATATTTCGATGTGGAACCTTTCATTTTCAGCCGTCTCTCTCTCTTCTTTGGTTGGTTATAGGTATATTAGCATTTTAGGACATTTTGTATCTTACACGTATGCATGTGAACTCCATATCTTCAAAAGGGATAAATCCTTAGTGCGTTTTTCCCTTTTAGATTAGACCTTAGTGGTTCTTACTCTGGAGGTGGTCTCCGTCCACCACTGCTCGTGCGCGTATCTCTCTCTTTAGGTAGAACACACTCCTTTCTATGTTTCTTGGCTAATTGTTTAGCCGCCCGTTCAACTTCAGCCTAAGAGCACCCATCAGTGAACTATCACGCATTGAAAGAGGGGTTTTTTCTCTAGGTAAACTTTCTGGCTATCTTGCACCATAGACCAATGCGGCCTAACTTTTTCCTCTTGATTATGAAACTTTTCCCTGGTTATCTTATTTGTCACCCTATATAAGATGAACTCTTCTTATTTCGAGTCATGTTAGTATTAAGATTTAGCCTCGATTTGGTACTTGCGGCTTGCGGAATGAATACTTAAATAACCATCCCAGTTTTCTGGTTCATATTTCTACCAGTTTGATTATCAAATCAGCCCAGTAAGGTGTCCGTTCTTCCAAGTGGAAAATAAGGGAAGATATTTTCTCTCTTTAGTAGGAGATGGATTCTAACACTGCCCCTCATGTGCTTTGTATATCTTTTGGAATAAAATTAGGTTGGATGGGTATTTATGGTAGGAATTAAACCATTTATTTCTAAAATATCTAATCATTTATTTCTAAGATCTTAATTCTTTTTTTTAAAGTAATATGTATCCAATACTTAGATCATTCTTCTAAAATTTCTAGGTATAATTTTTCTAAATTATATAGACAATTAATGAGCTTGACTGTATGAGGCAAGCGAGGATATTTTTACATTCTTTAGTTGTTTTTGTTTACCCTTTATTTCTATGTTCATGGTTCAGCGGAGATTGCCGTTTAAAGTACATGCCATTTCATGAGAAGATTTCTTCAAACCAGTTCATTAATTTGGAAAAAGTGGAAAATCTAGTAAATTTTGTAAGCCATTTAATCCCCCATGAATCTAACACCATTTACATTTAAGCTCTCCATTAACAGTGGGGCTGAAATTATATTGGCATTTATTTGGGCACATGATATGCCTATTTGTGCGTCTGGGAGGTGCAGAACCATGATGCATAAGATAGCATGCGTTTTGGAGAACGGGAGGGGGTGAGAAGAGGGTAGCACGTGTACGTAGGGACAGCCTGTCCACTGATGATCTAAAAAGTTGTGTACACGATGGGTCCAGTATTCTTTCGTATAGGCACCGCACTCTTTTATTACGCATCAGTATTGTTAAGTACCAATGAAGTTGACTAGAAAAGGAAGAGGTCGTCTGAGAACAATTATTTCGATATGAATTATGTTTGAGTGGAACTTTACTTAGAGGTTAGGTAGACAATATTATTTTGATATGTTGTCTTTGTCAAATTGATATCAGAATTATGGTCTTAGTTGGAGAAATTTTTGGACTTTGAGCTAAGAGGATGGATTTAGAAGAGAACAAATTTATTTGAGGAGAAGATTATTAGAGGCAAATAAAATACTACTTTAGGACTTAACTTTAAGGGAAAAAGGCTCATGTGAACTCAAACTCAAGAATTGTTGAGGATATTTAGTTTAAATTACGGTTTACTATATGGATCATATTTGACCCTTTATGATAGATAAATATTTTGTATGATAGAAGGTATTTAGTCTTCTATTATGGGTTAACATATCGAAATTGGCTGGAACTTCTTTTTCATGAATAGTTCCTTGATCATGTGATCGGATCTAGTTGATTGGATTTGAATCAGAGGTCTTGAACTCACGTTTGTGAAAGACTTTTGTTGCTCTTTTCATTTAAGCCCTTTTTTTATTGCCCTAAAAGACTCGGCTTCTTCTTTCTTTTATGAATCCGGCAAGCTAAAATCCTTTCTTCTCTTGAGTGATTGCTTGAATTAAGCTTGATTTACTCGTTTTGAGTCCCGATTTTCAGTCCTTGGGTGATATTTTGGGTCTTAGTCCAATAGATTCCATAGATCTTATCCCTGCTCTTCCAAAAGAAGCATCTAGAAATGACTTGTAGATAGATATCATATTTGACCTTTTAGTACATATATTGATCATTTATTATAGCAAAGATATTAGATGATATTTAGCCTTTTATTAGGGGTTTTTATTTCCTTTATAATTTATTTCATTCCTAAATAATTACAAATAAAGACTTTCATCCCAAAAAAATAATAATAATAATAATAAATCCAAATTCTCCTTATAATTAATGTGTTTTTTGGTATCCTTATAGCTAGACAGAGTGTTAAGTTGAATGAAAGTAGAATTAGTTGAGAAAAACTTCCGAATGTGTTTTACTGGGAGAGTAAATTCATTTTGTCATCTTTCTTGTAAATTGTTAAAGATCTGATGTGACAACCGAGAACGCACTTAGATTGTTGTAACCCATTAAAAAGCTTCTGATTTGATTGATGCAATAAAATATGATTTTGTTGGGAAGCGAGTGTGTCCACATGAATCCCCACCGTTGATCTCATCCTTTTTGTTTATGATCAATTGATCATCATCATCATCATCATCATTCTTGATCTGATTAGGGTGTAAAATGTACATAACGCAAGGCAGGTAGGGAAGGAGCTGGGAAGTGGAAAGCCAAGGAAAGCGAAAGCTGCAGCCATGGTGGCATTGGGATGCGCACTTGTGGTAGGCGGAATCAACGTGACGTGGACGGTGATTCTCCGGCGGACATGGGCCACATTTTTCACAGATGATATGTCGGTTAAATCATTGGTCTCTTCGGCTTTGCCAATCATAGGTCTCTGTGAGCTTTGGAACTCCCCGCAGACCACTGGATACGGCATCCTTCGTGGCACTGCCCGTCCTGCTGTGGGTGCTCGTATCAACTTAGGATCCTTTTACCTGGTGGGCACCCCTGTGGCTGTGGGCTTAGCATTTGGTCTTCGAGTTGGGTTTGTTGGGCTTTGGTTTGGGCTGCTCTCCGCCCAGATCGCTTGTGCTGTGTCGATGTTATATATGGTTTTGGTGAAGACTGATTGGGACGCTGAGGCTTTGAAGGCTAAGCAGCTCACTGGTTTGGAAATGACGGCCGCTAATAGTGCAGAAGAGGAAACCATGGGGCTCCTTGGTGAGGAAAATAGCCATTAACTTTACATTCTCTAGAGAGAGATTGAAATGGTTTCTTCTTCTTCTTCTTCTTCTTCTTCTTGTTTTTTCGTGTTTTTGGTTGTTGGTGGTGTTATCTATTTTGTGTGAATGTTCCTTTGCTTTTTTGAAAGTCTTGTGGTGATGCAGAGTTTGATTAGAGGCTTCCAAGTCATTCTTGTTTGTCATAATCATATAAATCCAATCAGGAATGATTATGGGTTATAAGTAAGGAATACACTCATACGAGACATTTTGAAGAAATCAAAAACAAAGTCACGAGAGTTTATGTTCAAAGTGGACAAATATTATACCATTATGGAGATCTGTAATTGTTATCATAGTATCAGATCCATGCTTTTAACTTAGCAACGTAAATAGAATATTCAAATGTCGAACAAATTGGGCACTTTGTTCGAGGACTCCAAAGAAAGGAGTCCAACCTCAATTAATAGGAAGTTTTATGGCGTACTTTGTTCGAGTGGAGTATATATAGACATTAGTCTATCGTTGTAGAGATTTGTGATTCCTAACGTGTAAAGGAGTAGAATTCATACCTCTGTAGATGGCTTGTTTTTTTTTTTTTTTTTTTTTTTTT